CCCCAAAACCCCAAAACCCCAAAACCCCAAAACCCCAACATAGGATGGAGTGGTTGAAATTTTTAGGAATATTATCCAAATTTTTGAGTGTTTCAATATTTTACATTTTGAAGGCTAGCAGAGCGAGCCCCCTAGTTCTCTCAGAATTATTTCTTCTGATTTCATTAAATAAGTGTCTTTGATTGAATTGAGAGAAGATATTCATTATTTCTACTGGTTTTCTGAAGTTATTGAGGTTGCAATCACCTTTTCTTCAGAATACGATGAGAATCTGATATTTCTTGCTCCAAAATTCATGATCAAAAATTTTCAAGATGCTGATGGAATTTGTATTCTTGGTCTTGGAGCTTTACAGCTCCAAGAAACTGCTGAATATCCAACAAAGTATCAAAATTTGGTCTAAATAATGACTACTGAAACAGTTGTTTCGGGGTTATGGAATGAAATATCCAATAATCCCACCTCCAGTCTGTTTGGAAGTCGTATTTGACAAATTTTGTAACTTCTTGAAAAGATTGCTGAAATTCTCTTTCATCTGCAGCCTTCTGAGGCTTTGCTTCAGAAAGCTCGTAGGTTTGAGAGAATCATCAGCTGGCTGCTTACTACTGTTCTTTCTGCTCAAACTATATTTTCATAAATTAACACCAATAAGTGAATTTTGAGAACACTTTCAGGTACTTACTTTGGAAATACTCTACAGATATTGGTAGTTATTTCCTGAGTCTATTACAATGATCGTTGATTGCCTATAAAATGGTTAATAACACTACAAAGAGAGATTAATGACAATCCAGTACCTCTTGATTCCTTTCCTGACTCAGTACTGATGTGGCTTTTTTTAGTAAAAGTCATCACTAAATTTGTTAAACTATTAATACCTATTATCTAAGAGTCATGAGCACTGTCTCAGTTGGTTCAGAACAACACCATCACTGTTCTTTGAATGGAGTTCAGGCAGGAACAACAGTAGCGGGTCTTCCAGAGTTTCCTGGAATATTGTCTCAGTAATCCTGATTTCTGCCAGAAGGCTGTCAGGAAATCCTATACCGGGATGTTACCGATTGATTTATATTAGCCCGAGTGTCAGTCCTGACAAGAATCTGATAAATTTCACAATAGATTTCTACCAGAATGCAAGTAACAATGCATTTTACTTACTCTGAGTCTTGTCTTCAATAAAGTCTGGAGGTTCTACGAGTTTAAGGCTAAAAATTACCTGGCCCATCCAGTGGGTGTCGCTGAGATGTAATTTTTGGTACTCTTTTTGAGTAAACTCTCTTTTTGATACTGGAATTTAGGGTGAACTCATCACAATCTGACAGCACCTTTGAGTCAGTGGAGATACTCTCTGCATCACTTAATCGGTTGGTAATAGAGATTACATCGAAGATATCAGCAGTTGTGGCCTCTTCTATAACACTTGGATAAATATCAAAGAAAATGAAATAAATTTACCTTTTTGCTTCAATTTATGTGTAGTTACAAAATATTTTTCTGGAATTCGAAAAGCAATCTCCTTTTAATCTGAGATGGCTTCGCTGATGTTGAAAGTGCTCTCAGAGGATTCTTCATGATTTGTCTCAGATGTCCTCAGATTTGGCTGCTCTAGGAGCTGATTCTGCAATCTAAGCATGTTAATATTAGTAATTTATCGAAGATAGATGTCAATAGGAGTTAAACTTGCTCTGATAAAATCTGAAAACTATTGTATTGATAAAAATACTGACCTAAAAAATATAGAGAATGCTGTCAAGATATTACGAATGATAAGGACTTACTTAGTCATGTGACTTCACTTAATTGGAGATGATTCCTCTCTCTTAGAAGGCTCATTGTTTTTATCAAGTTGATATAAGTTGGATTCATTATGATTAACTTTGGTTTTTACAGTTGAAAAGGTTGTAAAAGAGGAGCTTTCGAGAGAAAATTCCTGCTTCCGGTTTTCAATACTATCAGTATCTACCAAAGCATCTCTGGTGCCAGGAGGAGTATTTGTATGTTTTATACTGTCCATATTTTTAATTATTCTATTCAATTCTGCTTATATGCTTTGGGGTTTTGGGGTTTTGGGGTTTTGGGGTTTTGGGGTTTTGGGGTTTTGGGG